TGTTTCTTGATAATGTGAGAAGTCACGAAATTCCAAGCGCTTTCGTGACTTCTCACATTATCAAGGGTCACATTATCACATTATCAGCACTTTTCTTTCACCTTCATTTACACATAATCACTGTTTTTGCAGAGGCCCGCATATATGACACTTCAAATGTCACTACATACAGCAACTGTCCCATCCCCATCCTTTTAGGTGCAGACATTGTCCTTCCCACTTCCAGGACTTAAGTTTGGCTAACCGGTTTCCCTGAATCCCTTCAAAAAATATTGCTCTGCTCACACTCGAACAGCTCGTCAAGTCCCTGAAACCAGTCGCCTCCATTCACTTCTATCTATTGCACTCACGCATGCTTGCTGCATGTCCATGCCCCTACACACAAAACATTTTATAACTCCATTCCTCCATCTGTTCCCTCCACTACATATTTATACACCCTCCAAGTCTTTCTATTTTGCTCCATTCTCTCTAAATGACCAAACTACCTCAACAATCCCTCCTCAGCCCTCTGAATAATACTTTCTGTAAATCCACATCACCTCCTAATTTCCACACTTCAAGTTCTCTGCATAATATTTGCACCTCACATTGCCTTTAAACACAACATCTTCACTGCCTCCAACCTTTTTCTCGCTGCAGCACTTACAACACATACTTTAGACCCATATAAGAGTGCTGGTACCACTATACTCTCATACATTACCTTCTTTGCCTCCATGGATAACGTTCTTTGTTTTCAAAGATACCTAAATGGACCACCCACCATTTTCCCTTCATCATTTCTATGTGTTACCTCATCCTTCATAAACCCATTCACTGACAAGTATGCTCCCAAATATCTGAACACATTTACATCTTCCATACTCCCTCCAATCTGATATTAAATTTTTCTTTATCTAAATTGTCTGATATTCTCGTCACCTTACTCTTATCTATGTTCACTTTCAACTTTCTTCGTTTACACACCCTCCCAAACTCGTCCACTAACCTTTGCAACTTCTCTTCAGGATCTTCCATAAGCACAGTATCATCAGCAAAAAGTAACTGTGTCAACTCCCAACCCTATAATTTAATCCCACCCCTCTCCCCAACACCCTAGCATTTACTTCTTTTACAACCCTATCCATAAATATGTTAAACAACCATGGTGGCATTACACTTCCCTGTCTAAGACCTACTTTTACTGGGTAGTAATCTCTCCCTCTCTCCTACACACCCTAACCTGAGCCTCACTATCCTCATAAAAACTCTTTACAGCACTTAGTAATTTACTACCTATTCCAAACACCTGCAACATACATCATATTGGTTCCCTATCTACCCTATCATATGCCTTTTCCAAATCCATAAAGGCAACGAAAATTTCCCTACCTTTATCTAAATATTTTCAATTATATGCTTCAATATGCTTCACTTGGTTCACACATCCACTACCCATTCTGAAGCCTCCCTGTTCATCTGCGCTTCCTTCTTTCTTCTTCTTCTTATGACCAGAGCTTTGGTAAGATGGGTAAGGAAGAAGGATGGGTAAGGATAGAAATATTGGAAAAGGGTGGGAGGGGGAAGAGAGGCAGGATATAAAAGGTAAGTGGCCCAACCACTTTGGTGTAATTTAAAATGTGTATGTGAAATGATAAGATATTCTTGAAGGGGTATAATACTAACCCATCAGAGTCACATAGATATAACAGATATATAAGTACATGACTCTGAATTGGTAGTAAATATACAAGTTGCAATTTTTTTTTTTTTTTTTTTTTTTTTTTTTTTTTTTTTTGCGATTGCACAACGGATATTTAAGCGACAATGAAGGCAATAATTTCATGGCCAGTTCGTAAAGAATTACTTGACAATGGCTTCTTACAGGTGGCATCCCGCCATAGTAACTATAGCATAATTTTTTCAGTTGATTGTTATATAAGATGTCTCCCTAATTGGGGGTGATGATTTTCTCAGTAAACATAGAAGGGTTCTGGTGTTACCCAATCTTCTTCGTCAGGTAAGTTGCTCAATATCATGGGTCGATGGTAATCATCTTTATGGATAAAACGACGGTCCCTCTGTGGGAGAGTCATTCTTTGAGTCCTGTGAGGAGGAGAATTGATGATATAATCCGTGGTATTTACAATTTGTATAGGATGTTCTCTATCTGGCATGTATAGTTCTTGCATTGTATAGAGTTGTTTCTTTTTCAGGGTGTCAAGGCGTACGTTTAAGGCAATAATATCTTGTTCTACATGTAAATCTGCCATTTTAACTCTGTCTCTCCTCCTGGTACCCGTAATGAAGCGAAGAGCTTTATTCTGGACCCGTTGCAACCGTAGCATGTTGGTCTTTGTTGTTAATGACATTGGGACACAAGGGTATTCAAGTATAGGTCTTATTATCATTTTATACAGATGTTTTTTGACATGTTGAGGAGCTTGATTGAATCGAAAGAGACTGCTAAGACCGACTTTGGCTATGTTGATCTTTTTAGTTACATGAGATGTTGAGTGGAGCAGTCTGTCTATTTCATATCCCAAGATCTTGTTAGGGTTTCTAATGGCTACAGGTGTACCTCTGATGGAGATACCCCCTTTATCTTCGATTGTTGATGCAAAACACCCTATCGTGCTAACAAGGACTTTGTCAGGATTAGTCGTAATTCTCCATTTCTTTTCTCAATTAGATGTTCGACGAAGTTCAATATTCATTTTTTCTATGACTCTCTCATACTTGTATTTTCCTGTTACCGGAGTTGATGAGACGACATGAATAACATCATCTGCAAACTGCGTTATAATTGTATCATTAAACTCTGGTTGAGGAAGGTCATTCACATAGATGTTGAACAGAATCGGACTAAGACAAGAACCTTGTGGGACCCCAGCCGTTGGTATAAAAGGCTCTGTCGACCTGCCATGAAAGGTGGGAATGATTTTTCTTTGAGTTAAGAAATTATATATTAATCTGAGAAAAGTCCAGGTATGGTCTGGTAGGTCAATGAGTTTGTATATTAGACCATCATGCCATAAGCTATCAAAAGCTTTATGAACATCTCTGGTGGCAATTAGGGCAAGATTGCCCTGATGTTTTAGACTTGCTACAGTATCGAAAATAACATTTATTGCATGATTGGTACCTCTATGTGTTCTAAAGCCAAATTGTTTTTCAGTAAAAAGGTGATTGAACTCCATATAGTAGTTCAGTCTGTTGGAAATGATCTTCTCAAGAACTTTTCCAGTGACTTCAAGTAAAGATATAGGTCTATAGTTCCCAGGTTGGTGGATGTCTTTATTGGGCTTAGCAAGAAAGATCATCCTGGCAGTCTTAATGTTCAGTCTTAAAAACCACTGGAAAATGTCCTGAGGCCAAGATGGCATTAAAGATATTAACCAAAGACTGTTTACAATTTCTGGGTAGGAACTTTATTTGTTTCATTGTTATTCCAGAGAGGCCAGGGGCTCTATTTCGCATTCTTCCAATAACCTGACTTATCTCTAGTAATGTAATAGGTCTAGTAAGCGGGTGGGTATCTTCAAGAGTTGAAGTATCGATGGAAGGTAGTGGTTATAGATCATCCAAGTTCTCATCTCTCCATTCATTACCAATTTACCAATTTCATTTATTGTTAAATTGACGACTGTTATTGTGGGAGAGAATTTTCTCCCATACATCACCCATCAAATTAGCCTGGTCCTGTGGATCGTCAAGTTTAATCTCAACATCTTCATCATCCTCATCAGTGAAGGTATGAACTAGGTAGTTAGGAGCCTTGTGCTTTGCCCTAAAAGTTGTCGGATCTTGCTCCAAAATTTTGCTGGCTCACGTTTATACTGGTTAGCTTGAAGAACTAGCAATTTCCATAAGTCACGTTTGTGATGACTAATCATGTTAATTAATTCTCGCCTTAATCTGTGCAGTGTAGCTGCTGGTGGTTGTCGCGTTTGATGATGCCTTCGACATTCTGCATGATAATTTCTTAAAGAGTCTCTGATTTCCCTAGTAGGTTTATATTGTTGGTATATATTGTGGAAGCTAATTGGCAAGTTGCATTAGTAGCTTCAATTATTCGATTATGAAGGGACCTGATAGCGTCGTCAATTGCAGTGGAAGGTAGATTTTCCAACGACACAATTTCATCTTCACCCAGAAATGCCCTGAAGGGGTCAAATCCTAGGGTGTTAAGATTGGGTTTAGGAGGTACAGGAATTCTAAATGGAGAAGTTTGTAGTTGTATTATAACAGGGATATGGTCAGATCCTACATTTCCACCAGGAGATATACGACAGTGAAAGATGTCACAGTCCCTGTTTGTCAGTACTATATCTGGTGTCCCTGGATGAGGTCCAATATATGATTTAAAGAATGGACCTTGAAATGACAAGTTTCTGGCTGTCATGATATTAAATAGTTGTTTTCCTTTTAAGTCACCCAGTGGAATATTATATATATATATATATATATATATATATATATATATATATATGTCGTGCCGAATATATAAAACTGATCAATTAGCAAGAACTCATTTAAGATTAAGTCCTTTCTAAAATTTTCTCTTATACGTTTAAAGATATATTTTTTTCATTAATGTTAATGTAAAAAATTTTAATTTTGCACCAAAAGAATCTTAGAAAACTAACCTAACCTTATTATAACAAGAGCAATTTATTTTAGCCTAACCCAACTAAATATATTTTAGTTTTGTTTACAGTAATTTAATACTAAACAAACACAGTGAAATATATATTTTTCGATAGGTTCAGAATGATTTTGGCGAAATTATTGCATACACAAATTTTCACTTGTCCTATATGGCAAGATGAGCGTTGCTATTTAAGCCAAGATTGCAAATTCTGCCTATTCGGCACGACATATATATATATATATATATATATATATATATATATATATATATATATATATATATATATATATATATTATATATATATATATATATATATATATATATATATATATATATGTATACAGTGTGTTTCTATGTTGGCAGATAAGAGTGAAGCTGCCCTTGCAGCTGATAAAACAACTGGCTTCGGTGTAAAAACGTATGGCATGGGATTTGGACATTCGCTGGCCACTCTTAAGCAAAACGTATCCAGTCTTGCTGTAAGTACGTGCTTCCTTTTTTTTTTTTTTTTTTTTTTTTTCGTGTGTGTGTGTGTGTGTGTGTGTGTGTGTGTGTGTGTGTGTGTGTGTGTGTGTGTTGTGTGTGTGTGTGTGTGTGTGTGTGTGACTGTGTGTGTGTGTGTTTGTTTGTACTCACCTAACTGTACTCACCTAATTGTGGTTGCAGAGATCGAGACTCAGCTCCTGGTCCCGCATCTTCACTGATCGCTACTAGGCCCTCTCTCTCTCTCTGCGCTTCCTGAGCTTTGTCATACCTCGTCTTAAAGCTATGTATGGTTCCTGCCTCCACTACGTCACTTGCAAGGCTATTCCACTTCCTGACGACTCTGACTGAAGAAATATTTCCTAACATCCCTGTGACTCGCCTGAGTCTTCAGTTTCCAATTGTGACCCCTTGTTTCTGGGTCCCCTCTCTGGAACATCCTGTCTCTTTCCACCTTATCTTCTCTACGCAGTATCTTGTATGTAGTTATGATGCCTCCCTTGACCCTTCTGTCATCCAGTGTCGTTACTCCGATTTCATTCAACCTTTCATCGTAGGACATTCCCCTGAGCTCTGGAACTAGCCTTGTTGCAAATCTTCGTACTTTCTCTAACTTCTTGACGTGCTTGACCAGGTGTGGGTTCCAAACTGGTGCTGCATACTCCAGTATGGACCTAACGTACAGAGTGTACAGTGTCTTGAACGATTACTTATTAAGGTATCAAAACGCTATTCTCAGGTTTGCCAGGCGCCCGTATGCTGCAGCAGTTATCTGGTTGATGTGTGCCTCCGGAGACGTGCTCGGTGTTATGGTCACCCCAAGATCTTTCTCCTTGAGTGAGGTTTGTAGTCTTTGTCCACCTAGCCTATACTCTATCTGCGATCTTCTTTTCCCTTCCCCAATCTTCATGACTATGCATTTGGCAGGGTTGAATTCGAGAAGCCAGTTTCTGGACCACTTGTCCAGTCTGTCCAGATCTCTTTGTAGTCCTGTCTGATCCTCATCCAATTTAATTCTTCTCATCAACTTCACATCATCTGCGAATAGGGACACTTCAGAGTCTATTACCTCCATCATGTCATTCACATATATCAAAATAGCACTGGTTCTAGAACTGACCCCTGTGGGACCTCGCTCGTAACAGGCGCCCACTGTGATACCTCTTCACATACCATGACTCGTTGTTGTCTCCCTGTCAGGTATTCTCTGATCCATTGCAGTGCCCTCCCTGTTATATGCGCCTGATCCTCCAGCTTCTGCACTAATCTCTTGAGAGGAACTGTGTCGAAGGCCTTCTTGCAGTCCAGGAAAATTCAATCCACCCACCCCTCTCTCGGGTGTCTTACTTTTGTTACCTTGTCATAAAACTCCAGAAGGTTTGTGACACAGGATTTGCTTTCCATGAATCCATGCCTGTTGTCATTTATAATCTTGTTCCATTCCAGGTGCTCCACCACTTTCCTCCTGATAATCTTCTCCATGGCTTTACATACTATACACTTCAGTGACACTGGTCTGTAGTTTAGTGCATCGTTTCTGTCTCCTTTCTTAAGAATGGGGACTACATTTGCTGTCTTCCATACCTCAGGTACTTGCCCAATTTCAAGGGATGTAATGAAGATTGTGGTTAGAGGCACGCACAGCATCTCTACTCCTTCTCTAAGGACCCATGGGGAGATGTTGTCCGGTCCCATTACCTTTGAGGTATCAAAGTCACTTAGCTTCTACACCTCCTCCTCCGTTGTTGGTATGTCATCCAACACTTGTTGGAATATTCCCTCTTGATGTTCCCCTCTGTGCTGTCTTCCCAGAGCCCTTCCTGTCTCTACTGCAAAAACTTCCTTAAATCTCCTGTTTAGCACCTCATATACCTCCTGATCGTTTCTTGTGAGTTCCCCACCTTATGTCCTCAGCCTGATCACCTTGTCTTTGACTGTTGTCTTCCTCCTTATGTGGCTATAAAGCAGTTTTGGGCCAGACTTGACTTTCGATGCTATGTTATTGTCATACTGTCGCTGGGCCTCCCTCCTTGCCTGTGCATACTCGTTCCTGGCTTTGCAACTAATCTCCCTATTTTCATGTGTTCTATGCCTTCTCTACTTTTTCCATTCTTTATTGCACTTAGTTTTTGCCTCATTACACCGTCGGGTAAACCAGGGGTTCGTTCTGGTCTTCCCATTATTTCTGTTGCCCTTGGGAATAAACCTTTGCTCTGCCTCCTTGTATTTTGTTGTTACATATTCCATCATTTCATTTACTGACTTTTCTACCAGTTCTTTGTCCCACTGAACCTCCTGCAGGAAGTTCTTCAAACCTATGTAGTCCCCTCTTTTATAGACTGGCTTTTCCCATTCAACTCCTTTTACCCACTCCACTTGTAAATCTATGAATTCAAAGCACAGAACCACGTGGTCACTAGCTCCTAGGGGACTCTCATATCTGATGTCCTCATTGTCTGAACTGCCCAGGGTGAACATAACGTCCAGTCTTGCTGGTTCGTCCTCCCCTCTCACTCTGGTAGTGTCCTTAACATGTTGGTGCATGAGGTTTTCCAGTACCACATCTGTCATCTTGGCTCTCCATGTTTTGTGACCCCCGTGTGGCTCCAGGTTTTCCCAGTCAATCTCCATGTGGTTGAAATTGCCAATAACCAGGAATTTTGCTCTGCTCGAGTGAGCTCTTCTTGCCACCTCAGCAAGTGTATCCACCATTGCTCTGTTGCTATCTTCATATTCCTCTCTTGGCCTCATGCAGTTCTGTGGCGGATTATACATCACTGCAATGACTTCCTTGTGCTCCCCAGACAAAAGTGTACCTTCTATGTAGTCCCTTTCTCCAATCTCGTCTATGCCTCCCATTTTCTCGAATTTCCATCGTTTTTTTACTAGCAGTGCAACCCCTCCTCCCACTCTGCCCCTTCTATCTTTTCTCATGATCTGATATCCTGGTGGGAAGATTGCATCTGTTATTGTCTCAGTGAGTTTCGTTTCTGTAACTGCTATGATGTCTGGGGACTTTGCGTTGAATCTTTCTTACCACTTCTGATATTTATCCGTTAATCCATCCACATTTGTGTACCAAGTCTTCAACTTCTGTTCTAAAACTGAAACTGTGGTCCTGGGGAAATATTGGGGTTGGGAGAGCAAGAGCCCTGGCAGGGGCCTATGGGGGATTGCAGTAGGGGTGGGGGCAGAGTTCCCATAGGGGGTTGCTGTAGGGGTAGGTTTCGTGATGTGGGGGGGTGAGGACAGAGGGATCAGTGTGTGATTGTTATTTAGATTGTTCAGTTGCCTTGAGAGTGTCGTGGTTGGATTCCTTCTGTGGGTGTTTCTGGGGGGTGTGCTTACCGTTCCACCTGTGCCTGGGTTATTCTGCTTTTCTTTGTCATTTCCTCCCATTCCTCTTTTCGTTTTTGCACTCTTTCTTTCAGTATCATCCTTTCATCCTGTGTTCTGTCTCGATCCAGGTACACACTCTAGAACTCCAGTTTGTCTCTCAGCTGTGCTTTCTCCTGCAGAATCATGGTTCGAGTTGATTCTGCCTTGAAAATTACTTTGAGAGGCCATTTTCTTCTCCTTGCAAACCCCCCAATTCTCCAATAATTTGCCACCTGGGACATGTCGCCCTCGCCTATCACCTTCAGTCACTGTTTTCTCCTCCTGATTTTCTTTCATCATAGGTTTCCCCTTCAGCTTCCTGGAGCCCATAGACAAAAACTGATCTCTCCCTTTCTTTCTCCCACCATGTCTCCCACTGCACCCTCTGAGGTGTTTTAGTTCCTTCCCTTGGAGTGTTCCTTCCTTCAATCCCTTCCCTAGTTGTGGCCCCTATGCTAATTGGTTTGTCTTTTCTGCTCACCTGTTCCTGGCCCCCACAAGTGTCTGGTAGAGTCCCTACATTTGTCCTAGTTCCTTCAATGTCGCCTGACCTCTCATTTGGTCCTGGTGTGCTCCCTGTCTTTGTCTTGGCCCTGTGTGGGTCTGACAGGACCATTGCATACAGTACAGCTTCTTTGCTCCCTCCAGTCCCTTTGTCTGTGTCTGATGTAGATATTCCTGATGCTATGTCTGTATTATTTTTTTCCCTAGGCTGTTTCAGATTTCTCAGCTCCTTTTCTAAGCTCTGTACCTTAGCTTCTGCTACTCTGGCATGTTCCTCCCACTTTCTGCTCTTTTCAGCTAACTTCTCCTCCATCTTCCTTCCAAGCTCGTCTAGCTTCCTTCCCCAGTCTTCCTTCCTTTTTTTGAGCACTGTCTCCCAATCCTCCCTCCTAGATTTGTCTGTCACACCATTGGCTCTCGTCCTTGTTCTTGATTGCCCCATGCACCACAGAACAAAGGGGGAGAGATGGTTAGGGAAGGGGTTGAGATGGTAAGGGGGAGGGGGAGAGATAGTTGGGGAAGGGGATAGATGGTTAGGGAGAGGGGAAGAGATGGTTAGGGGGAGGGGGAGAAATGGCAAGTATATGAATGTGGCAAGTATGTGTGTGTTTGTGTGTGTGTGTGTGTGTGTGTGTGTGTGTGTGTGTGTGTGTGTGTGTGTGTGTGTATGGTAGAGAGAGAGAGAGAGAGAGGTGGGATTGAAGAGGAGGGGGAGGGGGGGAGAGGGGGAAGGGGGCAGGAAGGAGTTGGATAGAGTGACCGCTTGAACCACAGATGCCTTAAGGTTGTGTGAGTGTGTGTGTGTACTCACCTAGTTGTACTCACCTAGTTGAGGTTGCAGGGGTCGTGTCCAAGTTCCTGGCCCCGCCTCTTCACTGATCGCTACTAGGTCACTCTTCCTGAACCGTGTGTTTTATCATACCTCTGCTTAAAGCTATGTATGGATTATGCCGCCACTACATCGCTTCCCAAACTATTCCACTTACTAACTACTCTGTGGCTGAAGAAATACTTCCTAACATCCCTGTGATTCATTTGTGTCTTCAACTTCCAACTGTGTCCCATTGTTGCTGTGTCCCATCTCTGGAACATCCTGTCTTTGTCCACCTTGTCA